GGAGGCTGCCTCTCACTGCCTCGTCCACTGACTCTGTGGGTGGGAAGCCAGGACATGCAGTTGCTCAGGCCTATTGGGGCCTGGCACACACAGGTGAGCTGTGCTTGTCTGTGAACTTCTGAGGCTGGCCACTCAGAGAACTGGGAATCTGTGTGACGCTTGGTCAGGGACCTTGTGGGTTCCTGTTCTCACATTAATGTAAGCAGAAGCCAACATACGGTTGGTTTGGGGTTGAAGGCTTTTCTTGTGGCTTTCTCTCCACTCCCACATCCTTGAGGCTCCGTGCCTGCACCTCCCAGCCCCACACTGGCTGAAGGCCTCTCTGTGCTGCATGGCAGTGCTGCCAGGGGGTGGGATCTGCTTCTAACTCCTTTGTGGCTCAGCAGGACACCGTGAGGCCTTAACTGCAAAGGCCTGGGGAAGGGGATGTTGGAAATGTGACTGCGGTGTTGGCTGTGGAACCTGAGCCCTGAGAGCCCACTCTCTGGGCTGTGCGCTGCCCTTAAGAGAGCAAATAAAAACATGGAAAATGACTTAACCAACTTAAGCTGCCCTCGGGCAAGGGTGCCAGCCAAGTCCGTCAGCCCATCTTTAAGGTACTAGCATGAGCTCTGGCTTGGACAGAGGAAGAGGAAGCGTCTCCGTGATTAAGAAGTCCCCATCACAGCGTGGCCCGGTTGGTTACTGTCTCAGTTCTGATGGGGTAGGGGCTGCCATTGCTGGAGGGATAATGGGGTTCCCAAGAGGTGACAGCTCCTGCTGGGATGGCCATGTTAAGGGACCTGTGAGGCTGCTGTTCTGACCCCCCGGGCCACTGCAAATTACAGACTGGAGGCTTTTCATGCACTTTGTGGGAACTGGACACTCCGAAAGCTGACAAAGGCTTCAGTGACATCTGTGCTTCTTCAGCCACGGGGGTGTAGGGAGGTGTGAGTAGCCGCCATAGCCACCACACCTATGGCAGAGCTGAGCATAAGCTGGAGCATCAGGGACAAAGCTCAAATGAAATGGACAGCAGGCCCATCCTGCCTCTGCTTGTCTTACTGATCTAGGTGAGAAGTCGTGCTCTGGCTGGAAGAAGTCCAGAGGTTCCCAGGGCCCAAGGCCAAGGTGGCTGGGATCTGGGCCACAGTCCACGGAGGCCAGAGAGGGGAGCAAGCGTCGGCTCCCTCTCGAGGTTCTCACCTCACGGGGCGGTGGGGGTGGTGCGCTGAAGAAGCCTGAGAACTCCTGTCTGGAAGTGGCCTGGAGCAGTTAGGGCTTCGGAGAAAAGCCAGAGCCAGTCAGACTCGGTGGCAAGTGCTCTCACGCACTGGGCACGTGGCCCTTTCTTTTTTATTCTTCTGGCGCCTCTGCTTCCAGAGTGCTGGGATTAAAGGCAGGTGCAACCAACCAGGAAAAAAAAAAAAAAAAACGTTAAAAATTATGTATAGGGTGTGGGTGAGGGTGTGAGGGTGTGTGTGTGTGCACAAATGTGGGGGTCAGAGCACAGCTTTGTGGAAGGTGTTTTCTCGTGGCTTTATGGGGTTCCTGACAGATCCCCAGTGCTCATAGTTTTGAGGCAACTGCCTTTACCTGCTGAGCCACTCACCAGCCTGAAAAGACATTTTTAAGACAGATTAATTTAAGAAAGGGTGGCTAGAAGGGAACTCAGGGAGAGAAAGACTCACCACAGTCCTGGGCCACCGGGGAGGGTGAGAGCAGCGAGGAGCAGAAGCAGGGTCCCCCTCTCAAAGCAGGGGCATCCTTCTTTGCACTTAAACTGCAAAGCCACATATCGGATTTTGGTGTGTTTTGAAGTTATCGCCTTCAAAGAGTTAGTAAGACATTTAAATGACGAGGCTGGAGCAATAGCCCAGAGGATGGGAGCACTCCCTGCTCTTGCGGGGACCCAGGTTCAGTTCCCAGGGCACACGTGGCTGCTCACAAGTGTTCATGACTGCAGTGCCAGGGGAGCTGATGCCCTTTTCACCTGGAGGCACCAGGCATGCGTGTGGCGCACATACATGCAGGCAAACAGGCATACACCTAAAATTAATAAATAAACTTTTTTTAATTAAATCATGCTGGGCAGTAATGGCCCACGCCTTTAATCCCAGCACTCGAGAGGCAGAGGCAGGCAGATCTCTGTGAGCTCAAGGACAGCCTGGTCTACAGAGTGAATTCTAGGATAGCCAGGGCTTTGCAGAGAAACCCTGTCTTTAACATGTATATATATGAATAAATAAATAAACGGGATTGCAAAGCTGTTTCTGAGGGAGCTAGGGAGGACTGCAGTTGATGGGGTAAATCCCAGATCAGGAAGGTGGGCACTGTCACGTAAAAGTAAGCAATAGTCTTGTTGGTCTGAGTCCTGGGAAATATCAGGGCGACAGAGTAAGGACTTTAGCTCAAATATCATCAGGACCTAAGCAGTGTTCATTGCTATTTTAACTTTTTTGTTTGCGGGGAGCGGGTTGGGGACGTAGGGTCTCCCTGTGTAGTCCTGGCTGGCTTAGGCCTCATTATGTAAACCAAACTGGCTTTGAACTCACAGAGAGCTGCCTGCTTCTGTGTCCCGACTGTTGGAATTAAAACTGTGTACCACTTTTAATTTTAACATTTCTATCTGAAAATACTTTTATATAAAGGAATATTGCCTCTGTGTAAGTAATCTTTCAAAAAATGTTAACTGTTTTGGAATTCTTGATTCTCTAACAAGCGGCTTCTTCCAGGCTCCTTTTCTTTCCCGTGTCCCCACTATTTCTCGGCCTTTCTACTTTTTCTCAGAAGAGATACAGGGTGCTGAGAAGCACATAGCCGCAGGAGATCCTTGGCCCGGTTTGCTGTGTGCTGGCTCTCCGAATCCAGGGCCTAATCTCTGGCATCTGGATTCCGTGATCCGGGGTGTCACGCTCTGACAAGTATGCAGAGCCGGAGGGTGAAGGGTCCTAGGACTCAGAGCCTGGAGGACTGGTTTGGCTGGACAAACATCTACCTGTGAGTGAGCAGGGAAGAGCGGAGGTCCAGGGCCCCCAGAGAATGAGGGCACAGGCTGTAATGCTGTCCAGTGCTCGGGCGAAGAACCTCAGCATCAAGGAGCCCAGGGCTCCGAGAGGGAAAGAGATGGCTGGACTGACATGGTCCCCCGCCCCCTTGACTGGGTTACTCCTGGGTCCATTTCTAACTGGGCCCCTAGGAGAGACAAAGTTAGGCTGCCAGAAAGATAGGACGGACTTCTGGTTCCAGGAACAGGTTTGGGGTCTAGGAGGGGTCCTGAGGGGCAGCTCTGTGCTCGCCTTTTCTCTGATGCCAACCTCAGTCCACATGACACCGTGTCCACCGTGCAGGTCAAAGGCCACCTTAAAGTCGGGGCAACTGCCCGGCCTTGCCCAGGCGGGGAAGGAGTGAGCAGGGAAGAGAGAGAGGAGCGAGCAGGGAAGAGAGAGAGGCGTGAGCAGGGAAGAGAGTGAGAGAGAGGAGGCGTGAGCAGGGAAGAGAGTGAGAGAGAGGAGGCGTGAGCAGGGAGGCGTGTGAGTCAGGTGAACTGACTGTGGGGTAGTTAGGACTTGGGGCTGTGCAGTGTAGCAGAGTCTCGCAGAGGGAGGCTCCTGTAGAGAACAAAAGTGCCTGTCACACTTGGTGCCAGCTGGTTGCTTCCTGCTTCCCTGAGAGAGCTGATTCCCCGAGGCTGAAGATCCCCAGCCCCTGCTGGACCTAGCCCCCACGCCTCAAGGTGTCTTTCGCTTTCCTGAGTTCAAGGGTGAATTGCAGTGGGCATCACGCCAACCCTCTTTCCATGAGGCTGCAGCCCTTCCGTGGCACCCGAGTCCAGAGGAGAACCAAGCTTGACCTTCCCGACCAGCGAAGGCCCAGCACAGCACTCCTCCTGTGGGGCACTGCCCACACCTTCCTGAGGCGCTGCTGGCAGAGCTGTGCCCACGTCCAGGCCGAGAAAGGCTTCAGGAGAGGCTGTGCAGGAACCCTGCCTGCAGCTCAGAGGTCCAGGCACACCTTTTCTGAGTAGCTACACAGCATGTACCAGGCCTGTGGGAAACATGGAGCTGGTGACATCCTCGGGGTTGCTCAACTCTGCTCTCTCATCCTCCTCCAACATCGTATTTGTGTGCATGCGTACGCACGCCTGTGTGTGTGAGTGTATGTGCGTGCTCCTGTGTGTGTTTATGGTGGTGGGAGGCAGGAGGAGGCAGAAAACAGGTTATTACATATTTGCGGAAGAGGCAGGAAACTTAACCAGGAGCAGGGTGTGCTGTCTCTGGGGAGCTCTCTGGAGGACAGGATCCCTGACAGGAAGTGGGGAGCTCTCTGGAGGACAGGCTCCCCAACAGGAAGTGCCCATGTTTTGCAGAGCCTTCTCTTCTTTTCTTTTATTGCCAGTCAACATGTCAGGGACCCCCTGAACACAGCCTGCTCACACCACGGAGGCTGCTTTGGTCCAGAGGGCATGTAGGAGGGGTCTCAGCCCTGTGCTGGGAAGGGCGGTGCTGCAAGCCGCATGCAGGTCGGGGATCTGGAGCTGCTCTACCATACGGAGCAGCTGGGTTGGCTTGAGGGTAGGAGGCATTGGTCGGTCAGCTCCTAAAGACAGCAAGCGGCCTGTCATTGGTAAGCAGCAGCAACAGAAAGCCTACCTGTGCTTCAGAAGTGGATAGCAAACAGCTGTGCGGTCAGGGCAAGACGCACGGGGCAGGCTGCTCAGCTGGAAGCAGGGTGCACACTTGGCCAGTGTCTCCCCTTTTCCGGCATGAGTTTTTGCAGTGGCAGATCTTGGTTGTCAACTTGACTACAGCTGGAGTGAACTAAAACACAAGCTGCTGGCCACGTCTGTGTGGGGTTTTTGTTTGTTTGTTTTTCAAGACAAGGTTTCTCTGTGTAGCCTTGACTGTCCTGGACTCGCTCTGTAGACCAGACTGGCCTGGAACTCACAGAGATCCGCCTGTCTCTGCCTCCCTGAGTGCTGGGATGATGGGCATGCGCCACCAGGCTTGTGTAGGATTTCCTTGATCAGAGTATTTGAAGCAAGAAGAGCCACCGTAAACATCCGCGCCACCTTCTGGTGGGCAGACGGAGGGAATGGAGGAAGGAGGCTTTCCTGTTTGCCTGCCCTCACGCTCACTGCCACCCGGCTGCAGCAGTCCTTCACCAACTTTAGAGCCTGCTCGCTCAGGATTTCAGCTCGGACTGAAGACAAGCAGCAACCCTCCCGGCCTTCGGCACCTGTGGGGACTGCTGAGACATTCAGCCCCTCGGACTGAACGACTTCCAGATTCTTGGCCTCTGTGGTCTGAGACAGCATTGTCACAGCCACGGGGCTCAGCGTGAGGCGGGACGGGGGTGAGGACTGCAGGCACCGCCAGTGAGAACAGGCAGCTCTGAGGCTCCAGGCCGAGTGCGCTGAGCAGAGGCCACAGTGGAGAGAGCGTGCTCGGGGCAGGCCAGTGGCAGAACCGGCACAGCACCTCGTCTGTACAAAGTGCAGCTCAGGCAGACGGCCTGGCTTAGAGCTCCAAGTGAGAGCAAGTCAGCCAGCTCAGTGTGCCTCCGCTCAGCCTCACTCCTTACCAAGTGTGAGGACGGGAGGAGGGTGGCGCGCTGGTGGCCGCGTGCAGGAGTCTGGGAAGGGCGGGCAGGAGGAACCCAACCCCGCTGGGTTGCAAAGCTCTTTTCAGGCTGGCGCTGTTCTTCTGGGCCTCTGCAGCAGCTTTGGGGACTTCTCCCCTTCTTTCTCTCTTCTCTAGATAGCATCCAAAAAAAACCCTGACCAGAACAATTGTCTCCTGAGGCCCATCCTCTGAATGAGACATGCTGGCTGACTCCCTAACATCCGCTGGCCCATTTCCCAGAATGTTCTGGGCCCTCCTCCTGCTGGCTGCCTCCCTGGATGCCTATCAAAGTAAGTCTGGGTTTTCCTTCTCCCAAGTGGAGGGTCTCAGGGCCAGTCATGGTGGGAGGGTCAGGTGTCAGTCTTGACTTCACAGACCCAGTATGGTGGGAACTGTTGAAGGCCGGTCCACGTGCCTCTGAGAATGGCTGACAGTGCCTGCGGTCACTGTCTGGGCACCAGAGACCACGGTGGGCTGCAGAGCGAAGACTGTGCTCCATACGCAGGCTGGGACAACCCCGAGTGCACAGAGCCCGAGGTGACCGCACCCAGAGGCAACCGCGTGGAGATGGCCTGTAACGTCTCCAACCCCCTGAGAGATGTCACCATTGAACTGACTGCCTTCGGGAAAACCAGGGCCATCTTCAGCCAGGCGCCTCCAGGAAACAACACCAACGATTTATGGCAGCTTCGCATTCAAGGAGGCCAGGCCCAGCTGGTGATCACAGGTGCCGGGGACATCCACGCAGGGCAGTACTTGTGGAAGCTGCACGGACTCCAGAAGAGCAGCCAAAAGTTTATCCTGAATGTTCCTGGTGAGCAAGGTGAGGAGGAACCCCTCACAACTGAGCTCGGGGTTCCGTCTGCTTCCACACCAGCAAGGACCCTGAGTGTCCTCACCTACTGCCCTGCCCGCCCTCTTCTTCCCCGGAGCCCTCCAGGCTCCACTCCCTCTGCAGTTCAATCCAACACAGCCTCAGGAGCCTCTAGGAGACAGGGGTGACGTCAGAGCTTCTTCTGCTCCAACCGGGGGGTATACCACAGCTGCTGTCCTCAAACCTGATGATTTGTCTCTGGCAGAGCCCTGAGACCAGGAAGAAGCTGATGGCTGGAAACCGTTATGTTCTCAAGTCCCCAAGGTGTAGGCCCGTCACGGCTTCCCCCTCAGGCCACATAGCCACTATTTCTAGAGTCTCCCTAGGCCCCCACAACCTCCTCCACAGCCTTTCCTACTGCTATAGAGGTCCATGATGGGAGCACTGAGGGGCGGGAGGGTGATAAGGGTGAAGCGAATGTTGCCGGAGTGAATTAATTATGCAGGGAAATTCTCGTTCACATCTCTGCTCTAGATTTCACCACCACCAACCAGAAAACAATGAGCTCGCAGGTCACTGCTAGGCACCCACCTTCAGTGAAGCCAGAGGTGAAGGTCTTCATCGTCGTCGCCATCATCATCATCGTCATGGGATTTGGTTTATTTGCCTGGTACGAGCACCGCCATTCCCTGAAGCGCCACGAAGTCCCAGGGTTTTGTACAAGTCATGGCTCTCCTGGCAGCCCCTACGTGACTCTGCCCTAAGGTCTCCAAGTCCTGCCGCAGAAGTTCTCCAGGGGCCTTGTTAGCGCCAGACAGCAGGCCGTGGAGGACCTCACCTGGCTATGGCTGATTGTTATATTGTACACTGTGTGTACCCTTGCATTAGTCAAATGCTCATTTCTCTGTCCCCATTCTGGCTGCAATCAGACATGGCATGCTAATGGGTATTCTAAGAGTCTCCTGTCTCAAGTCTGTGTAAACACTGCTCCCCGTGTATTCTCTGATTTGTCAACGAAGCTGATCAGCTAATAGCTGAACAGAAGAGAGAATAGGGCTGAACTTCTGTTTCTAGGAAAGCAGGGGAAAGAATGATTCTGGTAGGAGAGGTCCCAGGGAGGGAATGAGAAAACTGCGGGAGCACAGAACGCCTTAGCAGGTCTCAGGGATTTTGACTGGGAGGTAGTTAGATTAGCTTAGAGGATTAATTCAGACCAATACTGCTCAGTTATTGTGCATAAAAAAATGTTAAAACTACGGGTTGGAGGAATAGCTCATCGGTTAAGAGCACTGGCTGCTCTTCCAGAGGACCCTGGTTCAATTCCCAGCACCCACATGGCAGCTTACAACTGTCTGATCTGTAACTCAAATTCCAGTGCATCTGATTCCCGCACATAGATATATATGTATGTCAAATATACATAAAATAAATTTAAAAAGTTAGAACTAAGGTATATGGTTCGGCAGCATATACTAAAACTGAAAGGATACAGAGAAAATTCGCAAGACCCCTGTGCAAGGGTGACACACAAGTTCATGAAGCACTCCATATTTTCACACACACTCACCCATAAAAACCTCCAGCCTCTGTCTCCATCATTTGGGGCTAGCTGGGCTAGATAAACACTAACAACCCATCCGTTCTACAGTCAACCGTCCGAGCCCTGACTCGGGACAGGCTCTCCGGGACCCTCTGCTCCCCACCCTCACTTCCAGCCTGGGACACCCAGAGAGCAGAAAGGGGTCTGTACTCCTCAGCTTCCTCCCAGGACCCCAGGGCAATTTGCACTGAGGACAGAGCTGTGGTTTTTGATTCAGTTGACTGGGCCCTCCTGTGCTCAAACGGTCAACCCTAGAGGACTTGGAGGGCATCAAAGTGTTTCAGTATCCCAAGTGTGGGGGGGGGGATCTGCTGACTAGTGCAGGACGTCTGTGCCGGGGCATCCGCACCTCACAGCCCAAGCCAGGATCTCAGGCAACTTCTCTCCCTGTCTCCTTCCCTCCCTCCCTTACTCCTTTCCTTATTCCTCCCTATCTTCCTTTCTCCAGATGAGGAGGCTCTGAGCTTTATGTGTGATCGGAGCCTGAGGGGAGCCACCTGCAAAATGGATTATTATGTTTGGAAGGTCCAGAGTCAGGCCAGCGCCAGGGGCTGACCATGTTCCCAGGGTTTGGGGCCCTTGGAGCCCCGAACACCCTGCAAACATTCACCACCATTCACTAGGAGCAACAAGGAAAAACCTCGTTTGTGTTTTCTAGAAAACACAGTAGTCCATGTTCTGGGTCTGGGGAGAGGCTCAGGATCCCATCCACGCCCTGTGCGGAGACAGACAGCGGCTCACCGGGGAAGGCCTGCAGATCAGTCATCCGGGCCTCTCTCTGGCTCCCACAGTAACACTCTTCCCCTGCCACCATTAGTTGCTTACTCTGCTCAACTTTTTCCAGAACTAGGGAAATTCCAAGCTGCACAGCCCCTGGCCCTCAGGATTCCGCCCTTTCCCCCCCTCTGCCTTTTCAAAGGAGGCCTGAGCGCCTTTCCTCCTGCTGAGCTCACTCCACTTCCCCAAGGCCTCCAGCCACTGGGTGGGTGTGGGTGTGGTGTTTGCTGCACCAGCTTTGCTCCAGGCACACAGATCTGTCTTCTAACTCACAGCAGCAGCAAGTTTCCCAGATCCTGCTGTTCCAGGGTCTTCGGAGAGAATTAGATGCAAAAATGATGTGTCACCAGAAGGGGGTGACGTGGGCCCGCCTGTGGCAGACACGGAGCTCACTGAGGGGCACTGCTCTCCAGCAAGGGAGAGCTGGGAGAACCTTGCCTCGCAGGCGCCTGAGTCCCTGTTTATCCCCACCCTTACCTGCTCATCCTCTCGGGCCCGTTATCTTCTTTATTGTGTTGCCAACTTGAGTAATTTCATCCTGTATACATTATAACTCATTCTTCAGGGGAAAAATAAAACCTTCATGACTCAAATTGCTAAGTAAATATAGCAAATATATATACATATACATATACATATATATATATATATGTATGTATATATATATATATAAAGCCATAGGAAATTCACTTGCTAGTGAGAAGCAAACAAACCCACAAAACGGGCTGGAAAGATGGGTCAGGGTTTAAGAGCACTTGCTGCTCCGCAGAGGACCCCAGTGTGGTTCCCAGCACCCACATGAGGCACATAACCATTTATAGCTCCGGTTCCAGGGGATTCGATGGCCTCCACAGGCTCCTGTATGCGTGTGGTGCAAATGTACAAATCAGGCATGCACACATACACATAAAATAAATATATTTTAAACCACAAAACACTTGCTTAGCATTACACACTGAGTCCTAAAGGTGAAGGCTGAGGACACTTCCCAGTGTCCCTGACCTGGTGTAGGTCAGGCCCACAGCGCTGTGAGGTGGAGGCCCTTCCTGACCCGGTGCACAGGGACCTGTGCCTATTAGTCTAAAGTAAGGCCTGTGTTGTCATGGTGCTGGGTTTGGGGCAATTCAAGCCAAGCCGTCCCACCAGCTCTTCAGGTGCCCTGGGACACCTTAGGCATGGTTCATGAGATCCATGCATCTGAAACCGGTTACACACTGCCTAAAACCAGCAAGAGAACTGATACTCATAAGTCAGAGCAGATGGTCTGCTCTGAACCCTTGCTGCAGTGAGAGGGACTGGGAAACCCAGATGCCCCATTCAGCAGCTGTGAGAATCCTACAAGAGAAAGTGGGTAGGATTCCTTGGCTCCCTGCCCCCCAGCTCTGTGCTTCCAGGTTTTCTATGCTTGAGACTGAATAGCTGTCCCGCCCAGCCACCTGACTCCAGCCATAGGACTCTGTCCTTACTGTCCCTATACTATGCCCATGTGATCTGCCCCTCCCTTGTCCTTTGATCCCTGCCTCTTGGTGGTGGCTTTTTAACTTCCTCAACAGGCCCTTTCCCCAGGTGCCCTATGTCCACGCTATCTTGTCTTTTTACCAAGAAAGAAGAGTAACATGTTAGGATAAAGGTGTGTATCAAACCAGAATGGATATAAAAGCTTTTAAATTAAGTTATTATTCTCTGTTTGGGGGTGTATGTGCCACAGAATTCAGAGGACAAACAAAACAAAACAAAGCGAGCCATCAGCAATTAGAGGAAGCCCATGGGCCCTGTGATGGCTGACATCAGAGTTACTATCTAGGAAAAGCCTGGGAATGCTAAGTCAAAACAAGACAAAACCTGGCATAGGAGACAAAATGGTTACCTACCATGCCAACTGGCATGCCAGGAAAGTGGGCTCAGATTCGTGAACAGGTAGATTAACTGAAATAGCTCTACAATATGGCCTTCTTTGTACCAAATCAAGAGATACTATATGGCTTTAAGAGAAGATTATTATTTCAGCACAAACCATTTAGGATTACAATCTGGGTATACGGAAAGATATATTACAAACGGGATCTGAGATAAAGATAAACGACCTAATAGTCATCCCAGGCTCCTGTGGCCTCCATGGCGCTGGGGGCAGAGGGACCAGGGCAGCATCAGCCTCAGGCCCAGGCCCAGAAGATGGCAGGCGTTCCTGTGGAGAAGGAACTCAGGTGCTGACCTTACTTTGTCTAGGCAAAGTGGACAACCAGCTCTCCAGTGTCATGCTTGTCCACAGTTCGGACTGGTTCCTGGCAGTGGGTGAGGCATTGGGGCAGTCTGGTCCAGTGGCTAGTGCTCCCACGGTCCAGGTGGGATTGTCATCATTGTGTCCCACTATCTTCTTGGAGACTTTGGGGTCACTGTCACAGTAAGGTTTTTCCATTAAATATCTTAAATGCTGTGTTCAGCAGATCTCTCACAAGTTGCAGGACCGTTGTCTATTAAGTAAGAAACTTTTTAGTTACTTACTTTAGGCTAGACCTTGAAAACATATATAGGAGGTTAAATAAATTTTCTATAATTAATTACATCAGTATTTGAAAGGACTATAAGTATATTTCTGAAAATATTAAGACTTAATCATCCTTAACAGTTTAATAAAAACAACAATTTCTATGTTGAAACTTTTTTCATGTAAACAAGCCATACGGAGAGTAGTAAGTTCATTTTCCTGGTTCTTCCAGAGTACACCACTTCAGAATTAAGTTCCTTGTATGACTCAGCTTACCAAAACGGCTATAGCTTAAAACATTAGCAAAAACAAGGTTAGATATTTGTTCTTTTTTATTTGTTCGGGTTTTTTTTTGTTTGTTTGTTTGTTTGTTTGAGACAGGGTTTCTCTGTGTAAGCTCTTCTGGACTCACTTTTGTAGACTAGGCTGGCCTGGAACTCACAGAGATCCACTTGCCTCTGTCTCCTCTGTGCCAGGACTATAGGTGTGCACTACCCTGCCCGGCTTAGGCATACATTCTTTTTGTTTTTAAGATTTATTTATTTATTATGTATACACTGTTTTGTCTGCATGTACACTTGCAGGCCAGAAGAGGGCACCAGATCTCACTATAGATGGTTGTGAGCCACCATGTGGGTGCTGGGAATTGAACTCAGGACCTCTGGAAGAGCAGCCAGTGCTCTTAACCTCTGAACTGTACCTCCAGCCCTAGGCATACATTCTTAAATGAGGCCCTTTGCCAGATGCTCAGCTCCTTGTCTTACTGTGCTGTAAGGCAGGAAGGCCTCAGTCTCTGGTGTCTATTGTTCGGTGCCCGTATCTATAGCCCTAATTTTAGCCTTTTGTTCATCTATTTATCAAGATCACATATTAATAAAGACATTATAATAAAGTATATTATAAATTTAAAATGTCCTATAGCATTATAAACTTAAATATTTTTAAAGCTGTTCCTTAAAAATATCCAGTTTTTTTTTTAATTTAAAATTTTTTGGTAAAACTCCAAAATTTCCTCTTAAAGAAGTTTAAACTCTGAACCAGGTGGTGGTGGTACACACCTTTAATCCTAGAACTTGGGCAGCAGAGGCAGGTGGATCTCTGAGTTCAAGGCCAGTCTGGTCTACACAGCAAGTTACAGGACAGCTAAGGATATACTGCGACCTCATCTCAAAAACCAAAACAACAACAACCAAAACTTTAAAATCTCTCAACTCTGTGTTCTGCAATATGAAAATAAAGTATCTTTTTATTTCAAAAGTAAAGACACAGGAGACAACCATAATCTGATGAGGCAAAACCAAGCTCCCACAGTGCAAACAATTCAATATCCCTAAAACCAATATCACCTGGGAGATTCTCATGTGACAAAGCCTGGTTTGCCAGCAAGGAACCTCCTCTCTTGTAGGTGGAGCGGCAGCTTTAATGCCTCGTTAAACAAGCATTGTTTTAAAAGTCCTATCTTCTGTAAACCTGGTTTTTAAACAGGACCGGGATTATCGCACAAAAGCCACCCCAATTCAAAAGCATCTTTGGAGACCCGTTGTCTTCCCGTTGGCCCACCACTTGGCTGCCCTTAGCAGAGACGGCAGTGAAGCTTCCTCTGCAGCCTAGCAACGATGGCCGCTAGCCACATGGCTGCCTAAGGAGGCAGGCCACATGTTGTTAATATCCCCAATGGACTCAAGTCACACTG